TATAAGCTCCTATTGGAATATTCACAATTTTTGCCTCATTTTCGCTGTGCTCATGAATAAAGTACCTTCGCTTTGGCACATCAGTTGTTTGCTCGCCACTTCAATTTCCTTGTAACGAGGGATTATTGAAGCCCGTAGCAATGAGAGGGTTATTATTTGGCCACTTCTTACTGTTAAATATTATTCGTTGGCGTACTTTTCTTTGTTTATTACATTTTTGATCCATAAATCCTGGGAGCAAATACTAAATGTCAATATTATTGAATTTAATTCCGTATTTTTGTCTTAATTACTTGTAGAATTTTATTATGTTAAATCTAACTACAAGTCAGTGTGCAAGTGAGTGATGTGACTATATGGCAACTAGTGTCGTATAATGAAATGATATTTAGTTTAAAGTATCAATGCGTGCCCCAAATTATATGGGTGACCTAGGAAATATAAATAATGTTACTATAAAAGTTTCTAAAGTTAATTGTGAATAAAAATATTTGACCTCTTTTCCTGAGCTGTTACACAAAAAAGTTAAACATCAAATAGAACAGCTCTATTCTAAGTGTCTACCCACAAAACCCTATACAAAAGCATTGATGTCCAATTGTCCATATACAATTTCTTAAATAGCTTCATCATTCATTCATTCAATGAGCTCACAACGGATCACTTAAGCACACGGTACCAACATTTGTATCTAATTGTACTTAACCCTCGGAAGCCACGTGCGTTCCAGGGTCGTCAAACTAGTCCCTTTCTAAAGAATCCATTTACGAAAATATTTTATGAATAAAAAACTGTTTTATTTGTCCATAAGGCACTGGTTGGTGCGGTGTAAGCCAAATGTTTGGCCAAGGTGTTAACGTGTCCCTAGGCTGGTTACGAACTTAAGTCGATTAACGTACGATTAGTTTTTGGAATTATTTTTTTAGATCCTCATTCACGTTTTTAAGTGAATGCTTAGAACTCTAGGTGTATCTTATGTTTGTTATTACAGTTGCCTGTTGCGTTTTACTGTGGAGTTGAGCAGGATTCTGTATTAACTGCGCTATATATTTTAATTATTCCTATCCACTTAATTCTTAAACGGTTCCTTCGTATTACATTGGTGTTTAAAAATGTAAATTTTATGATAGGATTAGCGGATTATCTCCGTTTTATATTTTCTTTCAATTAAGATCTTAATTATGTTAAATAACAACACGTGCTACCTTATATAAACTCCGTTATTTAATAAGCTTTTAACGCACATTAAATAGTATTACAAATTAATATTCTTCCCACATATTCGAGAGGCTCTCGTCGTACACCTGCATAAGCCATGGTATGCACTGGCACGTACTATAAGCTAGTTAACACATACATCAGTACATATGTTAGTATCGACAAACATATTAATCGACTACATATGCGGCGGTGTGCTCTTGCCCGAACTTGCTTATTACACGGGCACATAGAGTAGGCAACGGTTCAGAGGCTGTCACAATTTTCGGTGAGTTATATAATATTTTTAAGAGCGTATTTCTAAGTTTTCTACTAACCACGATACGCAATTTATGTTATCGATTTATTTCAATAATGTTAAAATGATAATATGTAGTTAAATTTGTATCTAGCATTAATTTTCTCAAATCGCCAATTCAATTACGTATATTTCTAACACAAAGAATGTTATGACTCAATAATAGTATAAAGTACGTAATACAAAATCAGCTTGCACGCATTTACGTATCGTATTACAACTTTGAACGATTACAATCCACGTATAAGTAGTGCATTGTTGATATTTTTAATACCAATAAAAAAATCTAAACATCGGTCATGTGATTTATAAACTTCTTGGTGCCAGTGAAATGAAAGTATATATTCGTATAATTCTTTTCCTTTCAGACTAGACGACCGGCGTGATACCACGGCCTCACAGAAGACCGACGTGAAACAACGCTGTGTTGTGTTTCGTCGTGTGAGTGAGGTTATCGGAGGCCCAATTATCCCCCCCCCCCTTTCCCCAATCCCTGAATCCCCTACAATCCTCAAATTCCTAATCCAGAAGGCTGGTAATGCACTTGTAACGCCTCTGGTGTTCCAGGAGTCCATGGGCGAAGCCGATTGCTTACCATCAGGTGATCCGTCTGCTCGTTTACCGGCTTATCCCATAAAAAAGACAAATGTAATCAAATAATAGTCCCCTAAGTATCATTTTTTGTACATTCGATACTTAAATTCAATTATCAAATGATAACAAGGAACTCTGTCACAATAATCTAGTATTCGAACACTAGATCATGAAAACTGCAGCATTTTAACTTTAATTACTACGTGTCAATATAAACAATCTATGATGCAATATGGCGTCGTGATTAACGTAAAAAAGGTGACGCAGATTCTCACTCTTTACAATAAAGACGTAGAAATAATACTAACGAAGGCGTGTCAAATCACGACTAAAAGTATAAAGTTCGCATTTACTTATACAATATAGAATACAAGAAATAAGTAATATTAAACAATTATAAATTATCGTTTTTTATAATCGTTACGCTTCTCTTTATAAAACGATTCGGTACAGTAAATGTAATGTACCAATGAATGTAAATATTTAAATAATTCTTCTGATATTATTGGTCAACTACCTTTTCTGGTAACTACTGAATAAGTGTATATTTCGATCTTTAGATCTAATATAATTAATTTGTCTACCGTATGCCTCGAAGTCTCAGGTAAATAGGGGCTACCAATAAGTTTTCAGTGACTAAATTGTAATACCCCGGTGGATTTCCAAGTATGGGTAATGCAGTCGAAGCACTGGGATGATGACAGGGTATGAAAATTAAACGTCTACTAGTCCGTAAGTTAGGTAATGAAAAAATATTAGACACACACATTTTATTTTGTCGTATAATAAAACAGTATTCAGATAAAACATATCAAAGTTTAGGAGTGGAGGCTAAAACGTCATTTCTACGTATAAAATGTACCTACATAGGAGTGACGTCACGCGACATTTCAAATTAAGATATCGTCGAAAGTATTCGTTTGTGTAAGAAAATAAAAAATACGTGTCTAATGGTATTAAATAATCTACCAGACGGACACTAAAATAAAAATTAGGCATCTATTTTATTGTCTATCTTTATATCTATCTGCTTTCATAATTTCGTATGCAAGAGCAGCATTGAATAACTACCCGGGAATTAACAGTGTGTTGTTTTGTTATTGTGTCTATATTGTAAAATAACAGACATTCATTTAAATTAACTGATAACAGATTTTCTGTTTTTTTTTTAAATTGAGACAAACCCAATGTTTTTGTAGATAATATTTGCTATACTTGGTTTATCCTGAGATAATGTTGACGAAAATGAGTGCTGATTAATTGAATTATGAAATCGTGTATTGTCAATTAAATGTGAAGTTATATTAATATTGAATCTTCATCTATCGAATAATTAATAATAGTACTTATGTTTTACCCTAAAATGTTCCACCAATAATAGCTATACTTACATACCTACATATTATTATGTTCTGTGTTCAACTCCATTTTAATTCATTCAAAAGTTGTAACTCTTAATCGTTTCACCGAAATAGGAACGAATCGTCAATCTTTCAAGAAACCATGTAACTTTACTAATACTTACCTCATGACGTTGTTTAATTTATTTTATGTAACTGAACTGCAATAGTAAATCACGTGCTGAAAGTGAATCTCACGACAGGTCAACGTGCGAACACTATTTTTAAAACAGTAAACATAATGATTAAAACAATATTATTCTTACCTCAACTTATTTGAAATCCTCTTGGATATGTTGACCAAACACTGTTGTACCAAATTCAGAATGTACGTACCACTTTAGTATGCATTGCTAACATATCAATGATTACTCCTAGCACACCTCAATTGCCGTAAGTACTTGTACATTATCCACAAACATTCAAAATTAAACATACTTGTGTTGCATGTTTTCTTAGGACATGTTTTATTAAAACGCTTTGCAAATACAAGATTGAGATTTGATTTGTTGTCCGTATTTTTAGACCAGTCGGTTAAGGTATTTCAAACTGTATTTCGGATGACGAAACTATTTGTTTATTTTATTTTGCGTAAAATTTTCCATGAATATTGAGATTCATACACATTACACTACAACATTCTTGTTCTTGAATATGAGCCTCTAGCATGGGTTGAAACTTGTCGAGTTCACTGTCAAACTGGTGAGTAAGATGAGAACATAATAATTAATTTAGTATGTGTCATAAAAGTTTCAATATAAACATACGAATTTCTTTAACTTTAACTGCATTATCACTGTCACAGACTAACCATTTCAAGACAATTTTTATACTACCCAAAAAGTATATGACTACTTACTGTTAAGCATTGTACTAGAAAGTCTGAATTTAACATAATCGTACTTACAGCACTTATTTATTATGACACTACAATATTTACAAACGCTTTTCCCAGTCAAGCAGTTGTTATCTCTGTTTTATCTCGGCTACTCTGTGGTTAGACGTAGCTAGGTGCTAAATGGAGTGCGCACACGCGCGCGGCATCACGCCCTGTAAGTCCCACTTTACCCTATTTGTTCTAAATGTTACATTTTACCCGCAAACACCCTCTTCCGGCGAGATTATTAGAAATATCGCCTTTTTTGTACCCGCACCCGTCTAGCTACTTTTGGGTAAATATTAATTGTGCTGAGTATGTTTTGATAGCAGAATTTAGATTCAAGGAATTTTGAAATCTGACGATAAAATTTTCAAGCAATAGGTAGCTGACATATTGGTATTATTATTCGATATTGAAATTTGTATACCTGATTTTATTTTGTCATAATGTAGCAAATATTCCTTTACAGTATTCGGTTAACCACATTTACTTTATAAATCATTACTTATTTATTAATAACTTGTAAGTAGGTACTACTTCATTTAAATATAATATCTATATAGGTACCTATAGTTATATATTAAAGGGAAATAAAAAATAATACAATAAATGCGAGTTAAATATGATTTAATTTCGTAATTTTTCTTAGCAATTATATTTCGTTCTCAGCATCGGAATACTTATAATTAGACACAGTAATACATAAGACAGTGTCAAGTTATTATAACAAATTTATTATGTATATAAGCGCATATTTTGTTAACTATTAAACAGCACAGCTAACATATCTTGACCTCTATGAAGTTAGGCGTTAATGTGAATGAGGGAGATGTCAGTAGCGCGGAGACAGCGAGCGACAGCGACAACGATACGCTTGTAGCGTACTTCGGACGAGTCAAGTTATATTGGTTGTACTGTATACATTGTTTGGAATGTTTCAATGTCTTTTACGGTTTGTTTTCTATGTTTAATGTTTTATATAATAATGGTGGAATGTAAAGCAACGTATATAATACATCGATGGTGACAACGGCAACTCGAGATTAATAGCGAACATTATTCAGTACAATTTTATGTGTTGTCCGTACAGAGTTATGAGCACTATTGGAAATGTGCTCGCAAGATGTTAAAGGTTGGAAAACCTTGCTAGGTCTTGTGTTATCGCGATCAACGGGTTACTCACTCCACTTTAATGTTCGACATTAATCGATAACTTTACTTGTAATCTGAATACACTGGGTACATGATACAAATATTATTTTCACTAAATTTTCATATTAACTTTGCAATAATTTCCAACAGTTCACTAATGTACGCATTTGTTCAATGGTGGGCATTCAAAGGTAATCTGTTATCGACAAATTTCCCAAATATTTTCACTAAAATTATGTATCAATACTGCTTACTTATAAGAAAATTACGTAATATTCCATGTTTTCCTCCTGAATATGATTGCAAAGTTAAATAAATTCTGTTATATTTTCTTAAGTTTAATATTTTTATCTACTCCAAGTTTACAGACGAAATTAACACACTAGTTATAATGCGAACACATAGATACACTGCCACGACACTATGGCACAGATCTTATTAAAATATTAAGATTATAAATGTCCTTTATATGTATTGACGGTGACAAACATATGGATAACAGCAGAACACTCGATACTGACTTCTACCATATTCCAACTTATAATGTTAATGAAACTGGCAACTTTATCATAGAAAAAACATCCTAAGAATCGCCAGAAATCGGGATGACTTCGACAAAAGAGATTCAAGTACCTATCACTCTCATACAAACTCTTAAAATAATATATACAAAGCGCTCGAAACCATACAATCAAATTCACAAATCGACCGGAAAATATATTCAAATGAACAGTAGTAAGGAAAAGTTTCAGTACATGGAGTTAGTAAAGAAAACTAGGTCATAGCGACTGTGGCTAATCACAAGAGAGCGGTTGGTCGGATAGATTAAATACCCATAATTAAATACAAAACATTTTAATACAACTTTACATCTAATACCTACGTTTACAAATTTCTGATTAACATTTGTTTGATAAATAAGTAAACACAATTATTTTTATTATATTTACAAGCAGATAACACGATCCGTACTTAATAATAAAGCATTTTAAATAATAACACACTGAGAATTGACGTAAAGGCGTTTTTGCTACACTGATGGCGAGCCAGCCGGTACAATCGAGGGCTACCCAGACTTCCAACGCGTTGTCCAAGTTGTTCCCCACGCGACGGTCGATGCAGCGGTGGTCCGGCGCAACACTCGTGACTGCCGAGACTACTATTTGCTCTTTCCACAGAAAAACCTTTTTTCCTTTTAGAGCACGAGTCCGACCGCTGGCACAAGAGCAAACGAGCGCCACAATGTTACACGAGCTTAAGGAATTTCACAGCTCCGGACGTCGTCCCGGCTCGGCGTTTTTTTCCCATTCAAATGTTTACTCTCTCGCTTCAGCTACCATTCATGCGGCGTTTGAAACGCCGCGGCCACCGCGGCCGAGCTAACCTAACGCTATCCAGTTCACGTCACTGTAATAATACTGCGATAGTTGACTAATACTCTGTCCACTCACAATGTCCATCGACAGCTGGCAACGGAACGCGCGAAGCGTTGAAGCGTAAATGCTGCTAATGTGTTGAGGGTGCGTGCGGCCTACGTGCCGTCGCAGTTCCTCCGCCTCTGAGGCCGGCCGTGGTGGTGACGCGTGCCGTGGCACGGCGCCGACGGCCGGTGCCTACGCTGCGGACGCACCGGGCGGGACCTGAGCATGTTGCCGGCGCGCTCTAGGTTGTGCCTGTCGACGTCGAAGTCTTGGGCCTCGATCATGAAAGAGAAACACTTGTGCAGGCGCTCCGTGAGCCGGCTCTTCCCGCGCCGCAGCTGCAGGCCCCTCCGGTTGAACCCTATGTAGCGGTCTTCGTTCTTCACCAGGTGGTATCTGTTGTAGCCGTCCACAAACTCCTCTTTGAATAGGCAGTTGGGTTGTCTCTCCGCTTGGAAGTAAGTCTGTAGACAATTGAAATAAAAATGTAAATAACAAATAATACAATTTGAAGAGGAACAAGTCAAAATGTAATTTGATATTGATACTTACCAATCGTCTGCCCACTAGTCGGGACCGGTTGAAGCAGAGGTACATGTCCTGCATAGGAGAGTGGATTAGCAGCTCTAAGTTGATGCCGCTGATACTCATGGTGAGATTCGCTGAAACAATAGATAGTAAAAAATTAATCAAATTGTTCAAAACATGAAAAAATGGGGCAGGAATGTCAGAAATGTTTTGTTAACAGTTAATATTTTTATAACATTCATTTGTTTGTAAGAATGCTGTTCACATTAAGAAATACTAATATTACTACAACAAACACGGGCTAATGAAACATAAATCAAACTTTCTTCCCGAAGAATTAATTAACTCATAAGAGTAGGAATTAATGAATAGAAAGTAAATATCCAAAGAATTCCCGATCTTTACTCCTGCTTGTAGCAATAACAACACCCCAGGTGCATATTTTCTAATTTCAATCAACGCCGATGGCCGTGCTCACGTAATAAATTCAATTTATATTGTGGAAGGGTTACGGGCGGAGTCAGGTGCAACAAACTAATCGTTAATGATATTTGAACACTAATAAAGTACAAGAATAAAATGTCGATAAATATTAATCTATTGCTGGACATCCAATACACGGTGGGTTAGAAGCGGCTTACATGCCGTACGAATAGGGCATCTTTTTTGTTTATCTTTATTTACTGAGTCTTGTATTATTGTAATCTTGTATTGATTTAAATTTATTTATTTTAAGTGAGAATATTATTGGATAAATATTGTCCGTACAACAATTCCTAGTTATATCTTATTAACACAATACCTCCTACAGCTTTATAATAATTAAATAACAGCTCAGTTATCGTCACTGACATTGTGAACCGAGTGATATTGTGAAATATTTAATTTAATTTGACCACACACAATGTTTTAAATTGATTTGATAAAGTTACTAATAAATCTGGAATTTTATGAGACATTCTGATAACAAAAGACGAAATATAAGTGGTTAGATTTAAAGAATGACATTGACAGTCCATGTTTTTATCAATTTAACAGTCAACTGGCAAATATTTACGATGAAAACTCGTTTGCCTAATTACTCACTTGAATAAATGCGTATTGTATTCGAAAACTATTCATAAATTCAAGTTAATAGTATAATATTGTCTCGCCATGTAAACGGCAATAACTCTCCACAGATAACATATATTATAGGGAAGAGAAAAGTCGATGTATGGTATTCGATGTCCAAACTGGCTGGTTTTTAAAGAATGAATAAAAATAAAACTGCGTGTACTTGGACACGCCGCCTATGACACCGGCCGTGTCATTTCAATTAACATTAAAAGAAATAAAAATGCTTTGACTCGAACGAAACATAAATTCGTTATAATTTCGGTATGACTGAATAGTTGTGTGCGTGTGAAAGCGGAAATGTACGAAGCGGTCCATACGTTTGACAGACTTTACATTCATGTAATTTAAATATGGCTACGTATTGGAATTTAATGAACCAATATTGATATTGGATATTTATATTATCAACTGTCTAGACTTTTGATATTCTTATTTTTAATCTGATCCTAAAATTGGCTATTTGGTGCATAATTCTAAAGACAATTTTGATGACAGATTAGTATACCTCGAACCTCGATACATTTTTCGATTAGAAAAACAAAACACTCATCATCCTGTTGAACCATTTTCAGTTACAAAATCTAAGTGGACAACATCATATTACTTTATATTGCACCTGTTTACAGCCCGCGGTTTCGCTCGCGTAGCAATAGGAAAGCGTAGCTTCTATGCAGCTCCTAACTACACCCTACTATGTTTCCATTCCATTGTGACGTAAGAGATACAAACAAAGAAACACTTTTGCGTTTATGATAGTTATCTATTAGTATTGAGGATAATAACACATTTTTCATACATAGAAACAACGAAGTATTTAACATCAAACATCAGCAAGCATTGTACAATGTTCAAGAAACAAGAAAAATGTTAATCTGTAGCTCAAGTACGTAACAGCTTACTTAAATATTTTCTTTTGCTTTTACGACAATCGTAAGTACGGTAAAGATAACAAGGAGCTGTGTTTTAATGTTCTTATTATCTAATCCGTATTTGTACGTAAGATATCGTCACGTGACAAATGTTAATAATGTATTTTAATTTAAGTAAGTATTTGTTATATAAAAGATTATAATTTAGTCTTTGGATTAGTGTTGTTTCGTTCTCTGTTTAATTTTACTTTAGCAGTTAATGTTGTAATTACGGTTCTTTTCTTAAGGGCTAGATATTCTAAGTACATAATAGTTTTTTAGTTACTTCTGAAGACAAAATGCAAACCCATTGCCGTATCATGCGGCACTTTTGCCCAAACTCCTTGATATGAGACTTTATACACGAAAACCATTTATGAACTTCATCTGATCAAATCTAGATGGCTAAGACCCAGGGCGAGTCCATGTCACTCCAAATCAATCAACCTATAAAAACTAAGGTTCTTCTAACATACTTCTAAACCCAACAGAGTCTATATAAACGAAATACATATTACAACATTTTTGGAAAACACACACAATGATATATATTTATTTTTCCGCCACTTGAATGTCCAAAGAACCGAGAACAGTAAACTTAGAATTTTATCAAAACTAATTACATAACAGACGCTTACCTACATATTTATCATAATTTATTTATGATCGCAACTGATAGATCAAATATTAATAGGACAACATCATTGTTTGCTGTCTCATGTAAACCTAATTTTATTTCGCTTACAAGCTAAAATGATTAGGAAAAAACTGAATCGTCATGTGTGACCGTAGACATTTGCTTGAAGCTTGAAGTCGTTTTTTTAAGGGGGGAATATCATCGAATGACTTCTCCCGCTTGGGTGAGGCGGGAGGGAGTGTCAGACTCTTGCTGACTAAGAACCACCCCGTTCCTACTCCTGCTCTTCAACAACCGACAACAGTCCTCTGCGGCTAAAAAACTATCACAAAATTTACTCAAAGTAGTTTTCCCAAGCTATGTTTACGGAAAAATCGTTTAAAGTCGGTCCAAGGGCCGTATGACCGACTTAAGGTCGACGGGACTTTCTTTCAGACGTAACGGAGCGAGTACACATTGCCCAACCTTCGTAATAGGCTAATTTTGTAAAGACAACATAATCTCAAGTTTGTAAAGTAAATATTCTTTGAAGTGCCGACCGACGCTTGTAATTTCACTAGAACCATCTTTATAGGTACCTTGAGGTCACTATTTAGCTTCCAGTGATTGATGGAGTCGTGAAATTTTATTATTACTGTACAAATTGTGTAGAAATACGTAGTTTGTATTTGTTGCAAAATGTGTTACTATATTCAGGTAATTTTTAAGTTTTTTATTTTAAAGTGTAAAAATATAGAAAATTTATATTTTTCAAGAAGTGAGTATTTGAGCTACACCTATGGCTTATAGCCATTTTCATGATATAGATGGGTAGATATTATTAATAATAATACACCGATTAATTGAAAACCTCCTTCCGTTTTGTAGTCGGTTAAAATAATAAAACATTTCCTTAAAAATTCAACTATGTAACAAAAAGTTATAAACTTTCTAGAAAGCAAGTATAAATATTTGGAAGTTAGCCGCCGCGTCGGGGTCAATGACCTGCTATCGATACCGATACGATAACGATATCGATAATCTTTGTACTTGTTACCTGAATTCTCTAAGCGACATCTCATGTATCACTTTACACGACAATAAAACCATTTATTTATTTTTTTATTTGTATTTCTTAATACCGTTGCAAGTTAAAATCTTTCTGTGTTTCTTAATATTAAAGTGTAGTATAGTTGGACTAAAAGTTAAAATCTTTCTGTATTCCTTAATATTATATATAGACACCACTGACAAACGGTGAAGGAAAACATCGTGAGGAAACCTGGACTTATAATTTCTAATTATAAGTTTGAAATCGCCAACCCGCAATGAGCAAGCGTGGTGATTAATGCTCTAACCTTCTCCGTGTGAGAAGAGGCTTTGCTCAGTAGTGGGCATTTAAAAGCTGTTGATGATGAATCGGTAAAGGTACGACTGCAAAATGAGCGTTGTGGTCAATTATTCTAGTCGGTAAAGTTTATAACAATTTTTTTATGAGATAAGCCGGTAAACGAGCAAACGAATCACCTGATGGTAAGCAATCGGCGTCGCCCAAAGACACCCGAAACACCAAAGGCGTTAGAAGTGCGTAACCGACCTTTTTAGGATTATAGGGGATTCAAGGCTTGGGAAGATTGGGTAGGGGGGTAATTGGGCCTCCGATAACCTCACTCACATGAAAACACAACGCAAGCGTTGTTTTACATCGGTTTTCCGTGATCACTCCGGTCGAGCCAGCCCATTCGAACCAAAGCATGGCTCTCCCACACTTAAAACTAAGGCTTACATGTCTTTAAGTTTTTGAAAAACTAAACAACCGTAATATGTCTGAAAAAGTGCTCCTCATAGCAATAGACTAGACAATAGAATTAAAAGTAAACAGTTTATAGGACGGTGTATTTTTCATTTGTGTCTACTTTTGTGGGGTTCTAAAAATCGTAACATTATGTCTACGTATTGTTACATTTCATTTAATCTCTAGTTACGCAATTCGCAACTCTTTAATCGTATTAAAACACGCCCAATGGTGCATTATTATCTGTAGGTAGGTATTTAAGACATTTTATCCTTAATACTATAGTTCGATTTCTGGGTGTGGCCAGTATGAATGAATGCAAAATCTGTTATCTTAATATTTGATATGAAATTCAATCAAATCTGTCAACAGGAAATTGAGGATAAATAAGCGTTTACAACAAACAACGATTAAGCCAGGTACAATGAATGAGCTGTTCTTATTTTTTTAATGAGTAATATCTACTTATGTATACCAATACTTCTTGGTTTTCTTGTACTTGTATTTATCACAAACATATTGTTTACTTTCAAGATTCTGAAGAACCTAATCGACCTGATTTACCGATAATGGTAGTAGTTCACTTACTCAACCTTTGTACTTGTTAAGCGTAATTAATGACCATTAGATTAAACAGGTATCCCACAAGTAGGTAAATTACTTTTGTTTAAAACAATGCAAATATTATAGGTACAA